GAGGTAGCTGCACGGCGTTCGCAGCCATTGATCTTCTCCCTCCTATCCTATATCTTTATTTACGCATTATCAGACTTTGGATATACCATGTATTAGGATGATATTCTGTATTCTAGAGGCTCAGATTTGTGACACCGGGTCCTAGTGAGATTATATTGTGTATTTTGTTAAAAACTTCAGTACTTTAATCTTGCTTAATTGATATTTTTTCCGCTATTTTTGATAAATTGGGTTAAGTGTTGAATAATGGTCGGGCTTGCCTAGTAGTGTGTTGGGCGCCATCACAACCGGGATTTGGGTCGTGACACTAGTAGACTGGTATCCGAAACTATTAGTTGATCATGACTTGTGACACCTCGGTTTGGGTTGTGTCAGGATTGTTTCTACTGTTGTTATCATTAATTCCGCAAATTATGGTTATTATATCATGTTTTAGAACCACTTATGGTATTTAATTGTTTAAAAGAGGTGGTCTGTTTTGTTCTGGCTGGCCTTGTCTTCACGAGAGGCATCATCACGACCGGGTTTGGGGAATTGGGTCGTGACAGCTAATGGGTCAATATGAATGGAATGTTATACCCTTTAGTTTGAAAAATGCTCCTTCTGAATTTCAAAAAATTATGAATGATATTTTTCCTTCCTTATACAGACTTCATAATTATTTATATGGATGATATTCTAGTATTTTCAAAAAATATAGAATCTCATTTCAAACATTTATATTTGTTCAAAAAGACTATTATTCAAAATGGTTTAGTTATATCAACACCAAAAATGATGATTTTCTAAACTTCTGTTAGATTTTTTGGACAAAACATTGAGAAGGGTAGGATTATTCCTATTAGTAGAAGTATTGAATTTGCTTCTAAGTTCCCTGATATAATTATAGATAAAACCCAGCTTCAGAGATTTCTAGGAAGCTTAAATTATATTTCTCCTTTTATAAAAGACCTTGCTAAAGATACTGCTCTTCTTTATGAAAGATTAAAGAAGAACCCTAAAGCTTGGACTGACAGTCATACTGAAGTAGTCAAGAGATTTAAACAAAAGGTTAATAACCTTCCCTATTTGACTCTCGCCAATCCCACCTGGGCAAGGGTTGTGGAAACTGATGCCTCTGATATTGGTTATGGCGGGATATTAAAACAATGTTCTCCAGTAGATAAACAAGAATATCTTGTTCAGTTTTATTCTGGTAAATGGAATGACTCCCAGAAGAATTATGCGACTGAAGCTAAAGAAATGTTGCTATTGTCAAATGTGTTATGAAATTTCAGACTGATTTATATAATCAAAAATTTCTAATTAAAACTAATTGCCAAGAAGTAAAGTTTATCTTTAATAAAGATTTTAAACATGATATTTCTAAACAATGTTTGCAACGTGTCAAGCTTTATTAGCCCCTTTTGATTTCGAAATTATATACAAAAAGGGTCTGATAATACCCTTCCTGATTTTCTTACAAGAGAATATTTGAACTAATAGTTCTCCATTTGTCTACAGATTATGAGGCCTGTATACAGACCTCCTCGGCAACGAGGAAGAGGAAGGGCATCTACTAATAATAGATAGAGTAATACTCTCGCCCAAATCAGAAATCAAAGGCTAATAGCCGCTAATCTGACACAAGGTAATACCGAACATCCGTTATACAAGGAATTCATGGATTTTATACAATCCAAGAAAGATGAAGGTAAATCATCTAATGTACCAACCTATTCCTCAGTTATATCAGAGGATAGTAATGAAAATTTTGAGTTTTATACTTAAAAAGAAACAAAATACTTTTATCCTGCTAATACCAGAAAAACTTATAGTTTTTCGAAGATCATTGTTAAAAAGGTTATACCTTCAGATGAATGGGGTATCAGTACCCTCAAGGATCGTGAATATACACATCCTGACCAAAAAATGGTCAAATTTAACTATTGGGACTATGTAGAGAGTTTTAATAAAATTTTTATTTATGAAAATCCTAATAGGAAATATTCTTGGTTTATTAAACTCTGTCCTAATATGTTCGGACAGCAAATTCCAAATTGGTACTTCAAATGGTGGAAGTTATACGGTCCATCATTAGAAATACTTCCAAGTTCATTTAAAAGCTTATATTCTCAATGGGTAGATATATCTCCCAAAATTATTTCACTACAAAAGGATAATATCATTTATGAGGGCATTGCTGCCATGTACTTTTTTATAGAATTTTCTATCCTGTGGATAATGAAATGGGATGTACAAGTTGGTTATACCAGTGAAGGAATTCCTTGTTTGAATAGAATCTTTTATTATAAGTTTTGGACAAAATTAATCTTGTCCAACCAGCAAGGGAAGTTATATGGTGAAAAGTTAATCCAACAAATATAGGCTAAAATAGAGGCCTAGGTCAAATTAGACAGAACACAGGTTGCAGAGAAAAAATTAAGTCCTTTTGAAATGATCACAAAGAGGCTCCAAATGAAGAAATGGGCTATATCAAAGAAACAAATCCTTGCTTCACACTTCGAAGAAATAAAAAAGGATCTAGCAAGAAATTTTGAAACAACAATCAGAGATGATATCTCTATGGCCTCCATTGGAAGCACTTCAAATGAAGAAGTATGTGTAGCAGGTGAAGCTCGGAGCCCCTCGGACACAGAAATCAATATTGAAGAAATTGAAGATTTCCTTGCAAAGTTGAAGTAAAATGTCGAAGAATCTTCGGAGAAAAACGACAAAGAGAAAACCAAAGTCCGAATTATTGAAGGCCCCATCAGATAAATTATTGGGGTAATAAAGACAACTTTAATAAAGTAAAGGGTCCCTCCATTATTCAAGGGAATCTGCTTTTATAAAGCAATTTGTCTGTTTGTAATTATAGGACTTTATCTTTTTATCTTGCCGGCCACACCTGTAATTATTTTGTCAGCCAGTTCTACTTTTTAGTTTTGTTTTTGTTTGTAGGCTGATCCATTATATAAGGATCATTTTCCATTTTTTAGAGGCAGGAGTTAGCCAAAGTATTAGCTCTGCCTTCTCTTTAGTCTCTCGCTCTACTTGTAAAGAACCCCTTCTATAATATTTTCCATTTTGAAATAAAATCAAAAAGGTCGTTTGGCCACAGCTAAGGGTCTCTGGTCTAATACTGTTCTTCTCTTTCCCTCTTCCATTTTTGCAGTACTGTTAGCCTAAATGATAGGCTAAATAGGTAAGTGTTAAACTTGGTTCTCGAAGGTTATTTACTATACATGTTTGGTAGTTATGAGTTTACTGTGTCAACCCGATAGGGTTTTGGTTAATAACTATATAGACCAGGCAATTACTAGTCTCGACAGTAAACCTTGGTTAGGCCAACCTAACCGGTGGTGCTCGTAAACCCTCTTAGGCAGGTGGCCATTGAAGGGTTGTGAGGAGCATCGTGGTTTAAGGTTTTCCTAGAGGTTGGTAATTGGCCAGGACTGGTGTTCTTGTAATCCCTTCCCTGAGCCCCATTCAGAAGCAATCATGTACCCCCTTGGTATTAGAGCCATGTTTGTAAAAAACCTTAGAAGCTAAGTTTAACACTATTTTCTTAATGAATATCATTAGGAAGAAAACTACTGTTAAAAACAATAGGAAAGAGGAGTATGAGTTACCTCAACAATTAGACCTACTTAATAAGTGGACTCTCCCATTAGTCAAACCTAAGGTAATTTATATGAAATACCCATTGCACCACCACTAGCATTTTTTAAATGGTGAGTTATTTTATGAAAATATCTGGAGGGTATTACTCCTTATTTTACACAATTTAAATCTGCTCCACTATCAAATAAAGCAACAAACTCTTTTTTGAAATTGTAGTCAATTAAAAAAGTTATTTTTATTAAAAACTTTTGGATGATAAAATATTGCAGTTTTTCAAAAAATTCATCTTCAGGAAAATCCATTACTGCCAGTAAAGTATTAGCAGTTTTTTCTTCTGAAGAACTAGCAATATTGTCTATCTCAGTAATCTTAACACTGGGATCTGTATTAATCACCACAGACTTTTCTAATATGAAAATCCTTTCATCTAAGGCTACATTTGAAGCCTTTAATTCAGTGATTTCTTTCTTGAGATAATTTATCTCAATACTTAAATCTTGGACAGTAGCAAGCCTTTCAGCCTGAGACTTGTTTTTCACCATTTTCTTGATTTCAGACATGGTGTACGGTCCTTTTTTGAGATGGAATATCTTCCACCTTTGTTCCTACTTCTGCACTAGTAGGAATCTTATCTATTAGTTGGGACCTTAATTCAGGGTCTTTAATAACCCTTAAAAGATCAATCAAATTTTCTTTAGATAGAACACCGATCTTCAAGTCTCTAAATTGGGAGTAAATATTAAAAAGTTCATCTCCGTTATTACAACAATGATTTGAGCATTGTCCCTTATTACAGAACTCTTTCTCTTCTTCAGAAGATGAAGTATAACGTTCTTCATGAAGGACCCTTAGGTCTTCACTTGTTGATGAAGAACCTTCATCGGTGTACGATATTTCTAGAGAAGAATTTAAAAGAATCTTACATAAAAAATCTTTGATATGATCATCTAAATCAAGTTCCTTGATCTTGTCCTTGATTTTACAATCCTTAGCATAATGGCCTACTCTACCACATTTATAACAGGCCTGAGGGTTTTTGGATTTAATAAAACCCTTTCTGGCTTTATGAAAAGCCTTTCTTCTTTGGGTCTTTTCCTGCCATTTCTCCGGCGAACCCTTTTTCCTTTTGAAATCCTTTTTATGGTATTTCTTCTTCCCGCAAGGTATATCAATGGCAAACTGTTCACAGAATTCACCTAATTACTGTCTCTTAGTGAGATGATGTTTCTTAATTTGTTGGTTTAGCTTGGTCTCATTATATAGAGCTAAACCTTCCTGAGTGCATACACTAAATAGTTTACCATATTAGTAATTATTATAATCAATACTCATTCCTGTGCCTCTAAGAACCTTTTGAGTCCTTTCAACAAATAAAGGAGGGAGTTCATCTATGAATTTGGACTTCTAATGAGTACTATTACTCTCTGGTAATTCCATCACTCTGGATAAGAAAACATCTTTATACCATCGGAAAGATGTGAGGGTTTTACACCTCAAATTCTAGAGCATCTTTCTAATGCTCTTACTATTATCAGACCATCTTCCAGAAAATTTTTTGATGATATTCATGACTAAAGAATAGACTGAGTTTTGAACAGTCTTGTCGTGTTCAGTCTTGGTTCCGTTCATTATTTGAAAATGTTGGTCATGAGTGAGATAATTATCCCACCATCCTTTCAGCTGACCAGTAAATTTAGCAATAATAAGTTCTGCAATTGCCCTATCTGTATTTTTATTAACTTTACAGATTGTACTGTACATAAGCATTCTATGTACTGTCGGGTGATGACCCGACCAGTCGTCTCATGAGTTACCGCTCCGTTTCCCCCCATTTCTGCTTATTTATGCTCCATTATCCGTGTTTTATGTGATCAAGTTGATTAGTCTTTGTTCGGAGAGGATTTGGTAAGGAATGAGACACTTAGTCTCTTTTAACAAGGTTTGATTTGGAAAAGTCAATCGGATGTTGACTATTGTGTTAAAGGTCTCAAATGTGAGTTCCAATGGTTCGGTTAGCTTCGGGAGGTGATTTTTAACTTAGGAGTGTGATCGGAATGGGTTTTAGAGGTCCGAAGAAGAATTAGGCTTGAATTGGCGAAGTTGATATTTTGGCGATTTCCGGTTGATAGGCGAGATTTTGATCTGGTGGTTGGAATGGATTTTTGAGAGTTGTAATAGCTTCGTTATATCATTTGGGATGTGTGTGCAAAATTTCAGGTCATTCAGACATGTTATGGTTAGGTTTTTGATCGAAAATGTATTTCGGAAGATTTCTCAAAAATTAGGCTTAAATACGATGTGTTTTGAATAATTTGATGTTGTTTGAGGTGATTTGATGATTGGAACAAGTTTGAATAAGGTATTGGGTCATGTTGGTGCTTTTGGTTGAGGTCCCGAGGGCCTCGGGGTGAATTTGGATGGTTAACAGGAAGATTTTGGACTTAAGAGATTTCAGAAGATTGTTGTGTTTGGTATTTCCGCACCTGCGGTTTGGGGACCACAGGTGCGGCATCGCATGTGCGAAGGAATTTCCGCAGATGTGGATTTGAGGTGACAGGTCACAAACCGCAGATGCGGAATAGGAACCGCACCTGCGGACCCGTAGATGCGGCAGTGTACCGCAGATGCGATTTTGGCTCGTCAAGTGGATTTTGCAGATGCAG